GGGTGGGCATGACTGGCAGGCAACTGCCATGACAACCTATAAAGAAACCAGGGGTGACACCCAATTTCTAGGAAGAAAAGCCACTGAGGGCTCAGATACATTTTGGTATACAGAATAATGGGTACCTCAGAGGACATTGTTCTAACTCACAGCCTAGATGGCTTCAAGTGTTCATTCTGTGGTGCTCATTGACTAGGACACTAATAATATTTGAAGGCATTTTTAAAAAATGGGCATTACATTTTAATCTAAGATAAAAGGGGACCAAGAACGTTCGACTTCCAGCTTACTAAACTCTGCATAGTATTATTTGTTTGTTTGTTTGCATACCACAGAAAAGAAAAAATAAAGAACACACATAAGCAACAAATCACTATGAAGTATAACGAAGACTATGGCAGGATGGAATAATGGAATATGGGGAGCTTGAACTGTTGGAGAGGCCAGCCGAGTTGAAGAATCTCTCAGGGGTCTTGCTGCTCCTAGTACCTGCTGTAACGCCAGCACCCTCAGATAGAACCCCAGCAGCTCAGAAGCCTCATTCTAGTTACAACCCCCCCACACACACACACACACTTCCAGATCAAGGTCACACCCTTCCTCCCACATGGAAGCCAAGGTCACACCCTTCCCCCATCACAGGCAGGCTACCTCTGTTTGCTGTTTCAAGTGTCTATGCATCCCTTGCTGTTGGCTGACACTGTCTGGCTTGGATCTCAGCTGGGTTTCTCCCTCTTCCCAATCCTGCCTCTGGCCCCCTCCTTTGCATGGGTGTTGACTCAAGCACCACTCCTGGTAAACATCCGGAACTCTAAACTCTGCCTGAATCTGCTTCCTGGAGAACCCAAGTGCTTTACAGCATCCATGAGTCAGATATGAAAGGTACTGAGTGACTGAGGACTGAGTGATGATGGAGAAGTAGACAGCAGTGGAGCTGAGAAGCATGGGAAGACCACAGTGAGGGGAAAGGATCTATATTAAAGCAGTGGCCAGAAGGAAGCCACAGCAAGGGGCTATAATGTGGACAGAACTAACTGAGGGAGTGCTATGAGCCCTAAACCCAAAACATTTCAAAAGCCCCTTGTTAGAGTAATTGTAGTGCACATATGAAAATGTCACAATAAATCCTGTTTTATACAACTAGCAGTTACCAACAAGTGATTTTTTCTTTTAGATATTAATGTTTAAATAAACATACCCAACTTTTTCACGTCCCTGAATCATTGCTTCTCATTCTTTCTGCCTCATCAACGACAGCTCTTAAACCACACAGTGGCTGATGCAGCTACAGTCCTATGACATATTTTCTAGAGCTACATATGTAGCATGAGCTTTTCAAGATACTCCAGGAGTGAGAGTTCTGAAAGTGGCTTTCCGTGCTGATAAAAGTAAAGTGATGAGTGCTAGTGGAAAAGATTAAGATAAGTCACCAGGGCTTTTGAAGGACCTGTCCTCCCACCAATCATGGCTGTGGTTCTGGTTCTTATTCCTCTGTGTCACCTCAATCCCCAAGATAGATGTGAGCATGGTAATTATATTAGCACATTTTCTCTGAACAAGAATCATGTCCCCATCAAGACTAGAACTCTGTAAGGGTTTATTGAGTTAGGTCATCATCTTACAACCTGTACAAATTCAAAATGTATGCTTTCGGTTGGCTTTAATGTGTGCCGGCATCTTTGAAAGCATCGGCAAAAGTCATGGTGACACAGTTCCAGCACCCCAGGGATTTTGTGACCGCTTGTCACACCTTTGTCTCATGCATCCCTCTTTTCTCCCCTGGCAAAAACAAACAAGCAAACAAACACAAAACCAAAACCAAAAACACCTCACCCACTTTCTGGCTGTGTAGATGGCTTTACACTGCCTAGAATTTTATACGAATGTAATCACACAAAGTGTCCTGTTCTAAAGCAAGGTCTTCCTTCCAGCACTATACTTTAAAAACTGAATGTAAAGTGTTCCGTTGTGTAATATCTTATATGTTGTCAAACATTACATTACATTACATGAGAAATCTTGTTTGTATTACATATTCTATATTACGAATGCAAATACTAAAGTGTTCCTCTACTGGTAAACGAAGGTCTATGTATTTATTTGTGTGTGTGTGTGTACCTTTGTTAGTTTGTGCATACCATGTGCACGCAGGAGCCTGTAGAGGCCAGAGGAGGTGTTGGATCTGTTGGAACTGAAGTGACAAGGAGGCTGCCACATGGGTGCTAGGAATTGAATCTGGTTCCCCTGCAAGAATAGTATGTGCCCTTAACCACTGAGGCATCTTTCTGAAAGTCACTGCTCCTCAACTTTTCAAGTGTAATGATTCATGGTGTCTCAGACTGAAACTGACTTTTCAACAACAACAACAAAAACAAAACACAACTCTTTTTTATGAACCCTTGATATAATTACAAAATTATTAAAAATTCCTTGATAAAAAAGTGATCTATTTTTAAGGGAACACAAAACATTTGATAGGAGACTCTCCTCTCACGAAAATCTGTACCTAAATACCTAGGAAGTGAGTGCTAAATAGTAGCGAAATAGATGTACAAAAGTCAGAGCTGAATGTGGTGACACACTTGTGAGCCCAGCACTAGCAAGGCTTGAGATGGGAGGGTTGTGTGTTTAAGGCTGGCCTGAGGTACATAGCAAAATCCTTTCTCAAAACGATTTAATTGTAAAAAGCATAGATGTTAGAGAGCAAGAAGTAATCTTCTCAGTGCTCTGAAATAACCAGATAACATGGATGCTAATCCTCATCACACACATGTAACTATACACATTTCATACACACTACCCCCCCTTCCTAATTACTTATGGCTGATAAAGATTCACAGAAATTGCTCCAACATTACCATCTTCTCTCTAGAAAGGATGGAAACAAAAGATGGTTTCCAGAATATCACTACTCAACATGCAAACCTGGGGTCTGGGAATGCAAGTCGGTTACAGAGTACTTGTCTTGCATACGTGCTTAATGCCTTAGATTCGATCCCTAACACTGAAAGTAGAAGGGGAGAAGAAAAGGAAAGAAAAAAAAGATAGAAAGAAAGAAGCAAATGTCTTATAACCTATACAGTGTGTGTGTGTGTGTGTGTGTGTGTGTGTGTGTGTGCCTGCAAAGGCCAGAAGAAGATGTCAGATGTGCTGAAACTGGCATTACGAATGGTTGTGAGCAACCTTAAAGGTATTGGAACTAGAACCTAGGTCCATCTTAACTGCCCAGTATTGGAGGTTCAGCTGGTGCCACGTACTCTAATGTTACTGGCCCCCAAGATCTGGCTGCCCTCTAGATGAGTACATCCTCCAGTACACAATCTTTGTTGTGTAAACCTTGCTCTACCTAATTTAAAGGTGATTGGTTAAGAAAGTTGTTGAAGCCTGTAACTGGGCCCGGGGTTAGGGGTGAGGGTCTCAGATGGAACATGAGGCTGGGATAAGGGAAGAGAGGAAGCAGAACATGGAGAAGCAGCAGAGGAAGCCAGAGAGAAAGAAGTCACCATGGGTCAGTAAGGACCATGAACATAGCTGGCCTGATGGAATGGAAAGAGCCCAGGCAGGAACAATAATGGCAAGTGACTTGGGGTGTGTAGCTGGGAAATAGCAGAATAGCCTAGAGGGTTGATATCTGCCCAGCTATGGTGCCTTAAAGCTTTTATTAATCTAAAAGCTCTCTGTCTTGATTATTTGGGAAGGAGCTGGGGTAGAGAAGCCCTGTCTATCAATGACAGCTGATCCATCTCTCCCGCCCCATTCCATCTCATAAACTTTCAAAGCTTGCATAAGTCCCTGGATAAAAACGTGAGAGGCGATCGCTTCATTTCTAAAGTGAATTGAGATTGAACTTTCTGCTTTTGACAGCATTTCCCAAGACTCCTTTCTGCCACATAATACTATCATTTCCAAGTCAGCGTACTTTTAGACTGATAGCAATTTTTGCGAAGTTTACTACTACATTTTTAATGCATAGATTAGATTATTTTATTTGACATCATGTAGAACTTTTCTTTTAGAGTTTGTGGAGTTTGTTGTTGCTGTTTTGTTTTTTATAACACTTGACTTTTGACAAACTTGTTAGCCCGGTTAACCAACAGTCTAGGCGGGGACATTTACATTTCTTGGTCCCATAGGATGTAGTACAATGTATCATATGGTTAATTTAACAATGGATGAAACCCTCAGCTATTTGTCTGCTAGTGATGATACAATGTGCAAACTTTCAGGCCTTGCCTTCACTAACCATAATTCTCTCATACGTATTAAGTCTCAGGTATCACATAGAAAAAACAGAATCCCTTCATCTTGCTCTTGGGCTGGCCAGGAATCTTGTGGCAACTGGGAGTTTTGTGTGGGCTTTAGCTCAAGTTTTCTTTCTCTTGTTAAATGTTCTCTCTTGTTTTCATACTTAGAACAATGTTTTAATGTTTTTTTCTATGTGTATTATCTTGTATCTAATAATTTTTTTCCCCCAGAGAATTAAAATAATCTAAGCCCCAGTACAATTTTTGGTGTACCCCTGAATTTGTGTAATATGCAGAAGTTCTTATCTACTGGAGAGATCTACTGCAGAATCCTTTGAGACTTGAATTTGGAAAACAGCTATCATGAAATAGATTTAATTTTCAGATCAATATCTGTACCCGTCCTTGGCTTATAAAACAGGATATGAGTAATACTGCTTTTTTTTTTTTCTAGAAACTTTAGTATCAATTTTATTTTCAAATGCAGAGATTAAAAAGAAAGAAAATTGGGAAGTGAATTCTTCCTGAGATTGCCTCTCAGGATTCCCTCACAGGTTGTAGTTAAGGAACAAAAGAGTTTAGTACCATGGGTTGATAACAGCTGAACAAGATAATGATATGGTTAGTGTCAGCTTTTTTCTTTTCTTTTCTTTTTAGTGCTTCAAAGAGATAAACACCAACTATCACAAAGGTCCAGGGACACGATGCTGCTGGTTCTTACTCACTCGACAAAGGAGGGCCACCGGGGACCTGCGCCCTTCCTGACCTGTCATCCACCCAGGAACCTAGCCCGTATAACTTCCAGAGTTCTTTTCCACCCCACCTAGGGCCTTACGCATACTAAACAATTTCTCCTAGAGAAACTGGTGACCCAGCAGTTTGTGTATAAACTGAATTTCTAAGTGTCGCTTGGGACTTAGTGCTCAATGGAGGAATGGAAAGTTATATAAACAGGGAAAGCAGAAGGAGTAAACAAAACCTGGAAGGGTGAGGCTTGTTCTGATGAGACAGCTTCCTTCCTGTGAGTGCTTTAAAGAAAGAATTTTTGAACAATGTTCTTCCCTACTCAGCTGGCTTTTTCCACAATTCATTACATATGTATCTTTACACATTACAGAAACAAAACAACAGCAAAAACTCATGAAAAAAGATGTAAGTAAGCCTGGCACAGTGTGAACACTCAGGAAGGCAAAGGCAGGAGTTCAAGGCCAGCCTGGTCTACAAAGAGTCCAGAATAGTCGGGGCTACACAGAGAAACCCTGTCTCAGAAACAAAAAAAGAAGAAAGAAAGAAAAAAAAAAGAAATAAAAGACGTAATTATAAATTAAAATGTCAGGCATTACTGGTGCACCCCTTTATTTCCAGTATTAAGGAGGCAGAGGCAGGCAGATCTCTGTGTGTTCAAGGCCAGCCTGGTCTAAAAAGTGAATTCCAAAACAGCCAAGACTGTTTTGGACACAGACAAACCCTGTTTTGAAAAAACAAAATAACAAGAATGATGATGATGATGATAAATAAATAGTAATAATTCACAAGTGGAAAAAAAAATTTCATTATTTATTTTTTAAGTGTGTGTGTGTGTGTGTGTGTGTGTGTGTGTAAAGAGAGTATGTATATGAATGCATGTGCCAATGGTGGAGGACAGAGGAAAACTTGTGGGAGTCCATTTCCTGCCACTGTGTTGGGCCTGGGGATCTAACTAAGTCCTCATCTGAGCCATCTTGTCAATACTATGCAACTTATTTTAAATGTTTTTGTTTGTTTTCAAACAGGGCCTCCTGTAATGCAAGCTGGCCTCACCAAGATGCTCCTGTCTCAGCATCTGTAAGTGCTGCGTTATGGGTCTACACTACCACCTGTGGCTATTACAGACATTTTTCAGCCTGAAATGAACCTCTAGAGACCACCCACTATAACTCAAAGATGACAAAGCAGCAAACATAAAGTTTAAAACTTCTAGTTCGACTTCTTTGGCATTAGAATGAGAGTAAAGGTTAGAAGAGCTTCAATGACCCTGGTGTGGTGGCAAATGCTTTTAATCCCAGCACAGAGAATAGCAGGTGGAACAGAGGCCAATGAACTTCTGCGAGCTAGAGGTTAGCCTGGTCTATATACAAAGTTCCAGGACAGCCAGGGCTACACAGAGAGATCCTATCTCAACTCCTTCCTTCCTCTAAAACCAACTGAAAAGAGAAGATCTTCCGCCAGACTTTATTAGCTTATGATATCAGAAACACAACTGTGCCTGTGATTATTTTTAGCTGAGGCTCCCGTCTCTCTTAGAAAATAGACTGAAGAACTGGTTAATGTCAAATTCCTCTCCCTACTGCTTATACATGTGTGACATTTAAACTGAGTGCCAAGAGACTTGATTTCATCATTGTTAGGGGGCCGTAGGCAAATCGTATTTTTAAAATATATTTTATTCTGAATTGACACATATTTATAATTATTTCTCATTCTTAAACTGAAAATCAGGCCAATTTGATTGGTGAAGAAGCTGATAATTAAGTAAAAAAATGAGGATGTGTGGTTTATTTTTAAAATGAAAACAAAACCATGTTATTCTATCATTATAGACTCTGAATTGGAGCATCTCTGAAGAAAATTAAAGTAAGCAACTTAGGTTCATTCACATAAATACAGACTTCTCATTTATAAATTATATCATTAAACCACTGAATAACATACAAATTGATTTCTTTCATTAAGTATAACTCAAGTTTGTCCTAGACTAACATCTGAGCCATGTTAAGCTATCTAACACATTTAACATCCAAGCACCAGCTGATATCCTTGTTCCTGATCTATAACCACCAGTGTTTTCTAAGTTTCAGGAACATTTCTTGAGAACAGAGCACAGTTTCTCTTTTTTCTTTCCCCTGTGATCCCTGAATTAGTGCTAGACTCAAGTGGGTGCTGATGTACTCTTGACTGAGTTATGGGAATGTATGAGAGGTCATGGGCTGACAAACTGCAGACTTTATATTCACAAAAAATTTATTATCAACACTAAGGAGAGCTGAACCTGCACTTGGCCTTGGCAGCAAGGGAGAGCTGGCCCTGGTTGTGAGAGCTTAGGGAGAACTGGCCCTGCCCTTAGATGCCTGTTTAGGTAGGAGAGCTGGCCCCACCATTCACTTGGGCAAAGCAGGAGAGCTGGCCCTAGTGACAGGTGTACAAAGTGGACTGACCAATTCAGCTATGACCCAGACCCAATCCAGGGCTTTGAGTTGGCTCACCCCAAATTCTACCCCATCTATAAACTGCTGGAGCTTATGAAAAGGTTGGTCCTGGAGAACCGAAGCTGCAGGATCTTCATGACATAAGGCAACAACAGAATATCTCAGAGATCCAGTATTGATGATGTAGCAGAAGCCAGTGGCCTTGAACCAGACCAATGACTCATTGCAATGAACATTTGCAAGTAAAGATATGTGGACAAACGGGTATACTGTGGGACACACCACAGGTTCCATGGCAAGATTTTGTTTTGCTTTGCGTTGCTTTGTTTGTTACGTTTTGGTTTTGGAGGGGGTTGGTGGAGGTGTCAGGGGTTTAGAGCAGCTATGGAGGGACTGGAAGATGAGTGGGGTTAGGGTGCATGATGTAAATTTCACAAAGAATTAATAAAAGTAAAAAAAAAAAAGCATACTCGATGCAAAGAACTGAGAAAACATTGAACTAAAGCCCCTGTTTTGACTTTGTTTTCTAAACAGAAATAGAGTGAATAAGTACCTTGTATTCTTGGAAAGATTGGAGATAATGTAATTTCACTTTTTAAATTTTATTTAGTTATTTGTTTGCTTGCTTGTTTGTTTGTTTGTTGAGGCAATGTTTCACTGTCTAGCCCTGGATGTCCTGAAACTCTTTATGCAGCCCAGGCTGGCCTGACACTCACAGAGACCCACCAGCCTCTGCCTCCCCAGTGCTGGGATTAAAGGTGTGAGCCACAATGCCCTGAAAGTTGTCATCTCTAATGGCTGAGCCCTCTCTCTGGCTTCCTTTCTTACCTTTACAAACACCAAGTCCAAGACAATTGTGTTAATGCCCATAATCTCAGTGGCAAGATCATGAGCTCAAGGCCAGCCTGAGCTACATAACAAGGTTTTTGCAAGTCAACCTGGGCTATATAATGAGATCCTGTCTCAGAAACTGTGAACTTGGTCTACACAGAGAGTTCCAAGCCAGCCAGCATGATAGTGAGAGAGCCAGTTTCAAAAAAAAAAAAAAAAAAAAACAAGCAAGAAAACAGAGAGAGAGAGAGAGAAAGAGAGTTTAGTTTGGTTCCTAGAACCACCCATGTTGGGCCACTTACTCGTTTAACTCCAGTTCCAGGTGACTCAATGCCCTTTTCTGTTCTTTGGGGGCTCCTGCATCCCCAAGTTCACAGGCTCTTCCCCCCACCCACAGTGTCTTTTTTTAAAAAAACAGATGCAAATGAGCTGGGGTAGGGGTGAAGCGAAGTCGAGTAGTGCGAGGCTGCCCCCAATAAGCCCTGAATGCATAAACTATGCAAAGTAGGTGAGTTCACTGCACACGCTGCTGCCAGACACGCTGCCTGCCATTCCAGTTCGTGTTAAAGTTCTGATCACAGCCATCTCAGGGATGGGGCTAGGTGGGTGTTTGCAGTACATGGGCATTTACTATTGCACGTGTGTGTGTGTGTGTCTGTGTGTGTGTGTGTGTGTGTGTGCATGTGTGCTTTCCAGAGTGTGCCTAGAGGTGTCAGAGCACAGATTGTAGCAGTTTTCTTCTTTCACCATGTGGGTCCCAAGCACTAAGCATAGGTGTTTAGACTCTGCAGCAAGCACCTTTGCCTACTGAGCTATCTTGCTGGCCCTAATGTCTTCCCACAATTGTGTAAACAGCACTAGGATGGAACAAGAAATGCATTTGACCTTTGTGTTGTTCACAGAAGAATTTCTCCACTGGGAGGCAGATATCCCCTTGAGTCACTGAAAATATTCCAACTCCTTTGACCTTCAGCAAAAAGAAAAAGCTGCGAAAAGAAAAGAAAAGAGAAGAAAAGCCTCTGTGTGGCTACTGACAATGGCTCTGCTAAGCTACAGATGTAAGTTGTGGATGTAAGCTGCTTTGAAATGCTTCTCGCGAGCTACATTAATTTGGCACCCCACTAAAGATATCATGACCACATTTGGAATGATACTAACTCGAGAAACTGTGATAGTTATCCAAGTAAAGGAGAAATCTGGTGTCGTGGTTCAGTTCTATAAGAATGTAGATTTCAGCTAAGGTTATAATAATAGATGAGCTAGTTGGGGAGCAATGGAGAAGGTGGGTCAAGAGTGGAACCCCAGGGCCTACAAGATGGCTCAGTGTGTAGAGGTGATTGCTACCGATGGTCATGAGCAGAGTTCAACTCCCAGGACCCATAAGGCGGAAGGAGAGAACCAGCTGCTAAAAGTTGCTTCTGACCACCAAACACAGGCCATGGAACACATCCATCAACACATGCACACGAACGTGCACACACACATATACAAAGCAAGCAAGCAAACAAACAAACAAACAAACAAACAGAGTGGAACCCCAGAAATGGCAGAAAGAGAAGAGGGAGAAAAGATTACTCCAGAAGGAGTAAAATTGAAGAGAAGATATTTTGAAAAAGAGAAGTGTCTTTAGCTACTAGGTTTTATAATGACATATTGTCAGTAGCAGTGGGGGGTTCCAGCAGAATGTGAATGACAAGATGAGTGTTTGGTTTCATTTGTGTGGCTGTGATGGACTACTCTGACAAAAAAAAAAGAGCTTAAGGGAGAAAGAGTTTATTCTAGCTCACAATTTCATGCTACACTCTATATTAGCTTCTCTGTTGTTGTGATAAACCACCATGGCCAAAGGCAACTTAAAGAAGAGACTGTGTTTTGGCCTAGGGTTCCTCTCTGGAATCAGAGTTAGAGCTGATAATGTACGGGACAATGCAGCAGCGAGCGGCTGGCACAATGGCAGGAGCAGAAAGTTGAAAGGTCACATTTTGAATCACAAGTACAAAGCAGAGAGAGAGAGAGAAAGAGAAAGAAATGAAAATAATGTTATGGTTAGGGGGTCACCACGATGTGTGGAACTGCATCTCAGGGTCACAGTGTTAGCAAGGCTGAGAACCACTGATCTAGTCTCTGTCACTGACATCATTATCTCATCGCAGCGAGAGAGAATGACATAAGAGAGAGCCTGGAGCAGTTAGAGGGAGAGGGAGTCTCAAGGAAACCTTCATCCTTACGAAGATGCTCATTCTCCTACAAAATGAGGGTATTGAGCTAAATGATGAGTAAAGAGCGCTGGGCAAAGACTACGGGAAGGCATGAAAATTAACTCATTCATTCATCTCTGCAACACACAAGGAGTTCCCATGATGTTCAGTTACTGTTTTAGTCACCGGGGTATGATGATGAGCCAGTCTGTGAAAGCAGTTGTCATAGCGATGGAAACGGATTATAATAAGCAAGTAAACAATTTAGTTCATAGTGAGTTTGGGGCTGATAAAGATTATTACAGAAAATACTGTGGGTGGATGGGAGAAAATACGGTAATTTGAATAGATTCCTTTCTGTATCCATGGGAGAGTCAGAGGAAGGATGCTTAGTGTAAAGGGTTTTTGCTGTAGAGCATCCCTGGGGAGATGACCAGTTAGCACAGAGGCATGGACCAGGAATGGCTTAGCCTGTCTAGAAAGCGGTGGGAAGGAAAAAAATGAAGAAAACCAGTGAAAAGCATAGAGATGTTTCAGGAGAGTTGCCATGACAAGCTGACCTGCCTGGGCTTGTTGCCGGGGTAAGACTTTGAGGTTTGCTTTACAATAAGGAAGGTAATGGTGGAATTTAAAGAGGAGAATGGCTTGACTCTGCCTACGATTTTTAAGAGTTCATATTGGCAGCTGAACGCACCATCAAAACCAAAAGGAAAAGTAGGGTAAGTTGGTAAAGGCCAGCTCTCTTCGTAATCTAGAGGGGACCCAGGCAGACACACCAGGTCCCCTGAGTTTTCACAGCGGACAGTTCTGAAAATAAAGTGAGAGCCCTGGGTCACATCAAACAGGGATCTGCCTGGGATCAGCCTATCATGTTTGCCTTTTAACACAGTCTTAGCTAAATGTGGTTTCAGTCTGGCAATGTAGCAATAATCATATATCCAAGGATCAGCCAAGATCTCACTTTGATCAGGGGTCGGTCAGCAAGTGAACTCTTTACAAAGGCTTCCGGAAGTGTAGTCACCTCAGACTGCAGGCAGGAGCCTCCATGTACCTACAGCCCTCAGCTCTCCACAGAATGACAGCCGGCTTTGATGTCAACCCCCTGCTGTCCAGTCACCTGCTTTTACACAGGATTGCACAACCTCAAATCCAGTCTCACTTACAAAATAGTGTCCTTTGGCCCCTGGTGACCCTGACTTCAGTATCTGATGTTTTACTTCATCTGACCTCAGGCAGCAAGACCCTTTCTGCAGGCCTCAACCTAGGAGTAGCTTCCCTATTTCTGCCTAACTACCTCAGCCCTGCAGCAACCCGGGAAGAGCTGAAAGCCTGTCCAGATACTGTGTGTATGTGAAACCCTGCGGGTCACGGTCTTGTTTAATACAGAGGCCGCCCAGATGTGTGCTTTTCCAACACTCGTCAAACTGCACACAGATACTTTCATTAAAGACATAATAACTTTTAAAATGAATTAAGAGACCTTACTTTAGAAAAAAAATGATAATTTTGGTGACGTAATTGATCAGCCACCGTTAGTCTCTTTCCTTAACTCTGCTCTTTTGATTATTGTGGCCTTTTTTTCTTTTCTTTCTTTTCTTTTTTTAATTAAAATGTTCCTCTCCCGCTGGTTATTTATCTGTCTATCTATCCATCCATCAATCTATCTTCCTATTATCTATCTATCTATCTATCTATCTATCTATCTATCTATCTATCTATCTATCTATTGATTTAAGGCAGGGTCCTACCATCTAGCCCTAGCTGGCCTGGCACCTACTATGCAGCCCAGGCTGCCTTCAAACTCATGTCAATCTTCCTACCTCTGCCTCCCAAATGCTGAGATTACAGGCATGCAGCCTTGCTTCCAGCTTTTCTTGGGTCCTTTAAAAGCAGGATCCTGGCTCTCCTCTTGCTTTTTCTAGGTTTCTTTCTCTGTCTCTCACTAGCTTTTCTAACCTTACAGTATCCTCAAAATAAGCCATCCTCAAGACACCTATCTCCTCTGCTTCCTTATTTCCTATCAGGCAACCATAGCCACAGGTACATTTTTAATGTTCTTCTCAGCACAGATGACTCTGAACAATGAATCTTGAAAAGACTTAAATTTGTCTTGTTCAGATGCCTGCCTAGAAATTCAGTCCTAAAATCAAATCCATTATCTTGAAACAAATCTGTTATCTTTGCTAAGTAAATTTTCTTTATGACCTCAAAATGTCACATCGGTATTTTCTAAAAGTTGACTTTTGAAAACCATTGAAATGGTCAGTAAATCCTTTTGTCTACACTTCTCCTTTTCTTCATACTCCAACTTCTGTTATTTTCCTTTCCTTTATTCATTTATTATTATTGTGTATTTGTGTGTGATTCGCAGGGGGGTGGTGTGTCCTACGAAGCATGTGTGAAGGCCAAAAGACGACTCTGTGCAGCTGCTTCTCCTTCCACTTTTATGTAAGTTCCAAGAATCAAACTCAGGTTGCCAGGCTGCTCAGTCATTTTACCAGCTTCCGCCACGCCTCCTTTTGCTTATGTTTGTCTTTCTCCTCCTCCTTCTCTCTCCTTTCTAAAGTATTTGTCTACATCTCTTTCTTTCATTTTCTTTCTCTCTCTCTCTCTCTTCCTCGCTTTCTCTCATCTTGCTATGTAATATGTAATCCCAGCTGCCTGGAATTTATGATTTAAACTAGACTAGCCTCAAGCTTGCAGCCAACACCCTACCTCTGCCTTCTAAATGCTGGGATTACAGCTATGCACCATCACATCAAGCCTTGTCAGTCTTTTGACCTTTTTCTATGAAATTAACATTGGCTCCTACCTATTACTTCCCATCCATAGCCCATGCCTCTCCCCCCCCCCCCCATTTTCCCTACACTTTCCTGTCCTGTCCTGTTCTGTTTGTCTTACTCTGTCCATCATGGTTATCTACTCCAACCAAAACCAGACCCATCTCCCTAGATGTTGTCAAATTCAAGTCATAGTAGCCAGAAATGAGGGAGGGACCGAGCTGACAGAAAAACAAACCTGAAAGCAAGCATCTACTGGGTTGTGTCCATTCTTCCCTGAGGGCAGGGATGGTGACCCTCTTGCCTATTGCCCTATTTGCTGTGCCTGGCACACAGGAAACAGAAACACAGCGAAAGTGTGAAGTGAAAGTGTGCAATTGACGAGGGAGCTGTAGGGTCAGTCTGTTATTCATTCCAGGAGTTGAGAGATAGTGACGGAAGCCATAGAGGAAGAACAAACAAAAGGTAAAAAGCTAATCACCTTTTTATTTTTCTTGTGTTTGCTAAGGTTAGAGTAGAAGGGCTCCTAATAAAAAGCAGAAATCCTTGCCTCATCCCTCCCTGTAGTCAGTCCCTGTCCCAGACACTATTATTTGTGGCTTCTGCATTTTTAATACTTCTTTTTTATTTTTTTTTATTTTTTTGAGACAGGGTTTCTCTGTGTAACAGCTCTGGCTGTTCTGGGACTTGCTTTGTAGATCAGCTGGTCTCAAACTCATAGAGATCCACCAGCCTCTGCCTCCGAGTGCTGGGATTAAAGGTGTACACTACCACACCCACATATTTTTAATACTTCTAGTAGCTAACTCATTTAAAACAGTATGTTATAGTGTTGTCCTTCATTAATGAATTTAAGATATAACCATTACCATCCTTCTAATAAATGTGAAACTTTTATCTGGGAATTCAGTGAGGTATTAGCTATAAGAACAGAAATCACTGCCGAGGCTGATGGGCTCTGGTTCCTTCA